CCCAGCCTAACCTACACCTGTCCTGACCAGCCTAACCTACACCTGTCCTGACCCAGCCTAACCTACACCTACACCTGTCCTGACCTAGCCTAACCTAACCTAAACATGTCCTGACCTAGCCTAACCTATACTTAAAGCTGGCCATTCACCTATAGATTATCTGTAGATTTTCTGGTCAGATGGAATACGTGCTACAGATTCCTCCATCTACGCCGAACTGTGTGGATGTTAGAATCTCCCACTGGGCCAAGCTTCAGTATCTTGCTAGTCAGTCCCGCTGGCTCTCAAAATACCTGAACAATCTGATTGGATGCAGGCATTGTTCAGGTGTTTTGAGAGCCAGCGGGCCAAGAAGCAAAATACTGAAGCTTGGCCCAGTGGGAGACACCGTTTAGCATAGATGGAGGAATCTGTTGCACTTTCTCCATCTGACCATAGAAAATCTATAGGTGTATGGCCAGCTTAACCTATACCTATACCTGTCCTGACCTACCCTAACCTAGTGCCTGATTCCCTGTAATGCCACATTTGGATAAACCAATTAGTCATCCCTAGGCAAGAAAAAGATAAAACCCTGACGCTGCATTTAAAAGGGGGAAAAAAACAGCAACAACAACAAAACTTTCTAGTAGAGGTCTACTTTCCATTTAGACCAAAAAGCATGAAGAAACATTTACAGAGAACTGACTTCACCCACACTCAGTGCTATAGGTAAGAGGACAACAAATGCTGCATTATACGGATTAAGACAGGAGGAAACAGCCGCATGGAAATACTGCAGAAGAAAACTCCCTGTCAGTGAGGACTTTGTGAAGAACACGGCATCAAAGAGTGCTATACAACCAGCAAACATGACTGAAGAATGAGTCAAAGAATGCATCACAAAACAGCATGGGAGGAAATCAAATGGGACGAAGACTAGATGCACATGGTCAAGGAACAGAAATAATATGAACACTGACACATGGATGAGTTCAATGTAAACAGCAAGCTGCAACACGGAAAATGATCCAGAAACAATCACTACAATGCTAAGACAGAAAATCAGTTTTCCTAATGTTCTCATTGTCAGATTCAACAGGGCTGTCAGAAGGCTACGGAGCTGGACTACTTGCTGGTTACTTTGCACTGCAATCTCCCTCCCTAGGTAGACCGCTCTGCATGCATGGACTAGGATAGGGGAGCAGCAGAGAAGACCATCGTTTGTGAAGATTGTGCATATAGATTACAAAGACTTTACGGGCAGACATTGGGAAACCTGGACCTGCTGAATTACAGGCTCAGGATTGAGTGTTCCCAGTCCACCAGGTTACTGAAAACAACATTATTCCATTGAGGTTCTCAATGTCAAAAGCCCAAAACCTTCAGCTGGTAGACCCTGCATGGAATTTTAAAACTCCTTCATTATGATCGGCTAATTAAAAGGTGTAAAAGCTTTACTGCGAGATTTTCATTGTTGTAAGAAATGGAAACCTGTTCTTATAACTATGGAAATTCTGCATTAAAGCTCCCCCTGCACTGTAAGGGTTAAATGTAAATGCTTAGATGTTACTTACCTTGTCCCTTGCTCCCTCCATGCTGTAAGACCTGTCCCTGCAGCCTCTTCTCCCTGATGCTCCTGCATTTGCAGACACTATGAGGTCATCAAGTCCAATGCAGCACCAATAGCCCTACACTGTATGCAAGCATGCCAAGCGTGCACGAGCATCAAGAAGATTTGAGTGGAGACTGCAAGGGGAGCGTGGGATCAGGTAAGTCAAAGTACTTTCTTCTAGTACCCTTGGTATGAAGTAGCAGTAAACCCTTGCAGTACTGGGGGAACCCTGGAAGGGTCGTTATTTGCTTTCCCTGGAGTTTAACTTTAAGCTGGCTCTTGGTCCCAGGAACCACTTCTGTGTGAGTGCGCATGTGCACAGCTTCTACATGAAAAGGTGTTACAGTAGAGCTGAAGTCACTTTTTTCCCCGCTTTGGATAGAGTAAGGGAGAGTTATAACCCCTGTCAGCTTTGCTGCCATTGGTGTCTATTAGGAAGAATTCCCACTTCTTGTCTGAGAGCCACAACACGAAGACGAAATCCATGGTGGTCAGAACTAGTGTCCCCATTAGAAGATTTCCCGTCTATTCCTGTTCTGGCGACAACTCAACGTTTGGGATTTTTTTTTCACTTTCATTGATAATGGTCACCAGAATCAATAAAGAGGATGAATTTACCTATTACGGACACTAAGAGCAATACAACAACAAAGAAAAAGACAAATAGTTTTGGGTCAGTTGCCCATTGAGGGGCATTTATCAAAACTGGAGCAGACAGAATCTGCAGCAGTCATGAATGGCAACCAGCTTCTAGCTTTAATGAACAAACTGAAGAGAAAAACAAATTAAATATTATGTGCAGCTCACATGACTGCCTGCGGATGCTGCAGTCCATGTCATGTCACTTTGTACAACACGCCCTTTCAGGCCAGTTGCTATACTTTCCAAATGCAATATTTACAAAATCCTAAATATAGAGGGATTTTTTGGGAGGGGGCGCAATACTTTGCCTGCTCCAGATAACATTTCGATGCGCCAAGTCTACATTTTTCTAAACCCCTTCAAGTGATGTCAAATCAATATGAATAACATGCAGCACTAGTAGGCGAGACGATATAATGAACAGCAAGCTGCATGGAGGGATGACACTTGTTTAGCCATTGAAGTGGCGCAGTCCTGACATAAAACAAACACGTGTCATAATACAGCACTGTGATCTCTACTGAATCAGCTGAGCAGAATGATGCAGTGTAACCCTGTGTGTCTAATCGCACAGACTCATCCCACCGTCAGCCATTGGTTACTAACTAGTCTCAACTCCTCTCTGTGCAGTGATGCCATTGAAGCTTGAAGAGTGAAATTAACAATCAGTTACAAAGCCATCCACAACTCCGCCCCCGGCTATATCTCAAACCTGGTCTCAAAGTATCACCCTAAACGTCGGCTCCGATCTTCCCAAGACCTCCTGCTTTCCAGCTCCGTCATCAACTCCTCCCATGCTCGCCTCCAGGACTTCTCTAGAGTCTCTCCCATCCTCTGGAATTCTTTACCCCAACCTGTCCGTCTGTTTCCCACCTTGACTGTCTTTAGGCGATCCCTAAAGACTCATATCTTCAGAGAAGCCTATCCCACCTCAACCTAACCACTCAACCATCACGTTCTCAAACAATTAATCCCCACACAGCTACCTCCTCATGTATCACTTCCCCCTCCCTTGTAGATTGTAAGACCTCAGGGACAGGGCCCTCCTTACCATCTTGTCTTGTGATTGTAATGGCTTCCCTATATTGTAAAGCGCTGCGCAAACTGTTGGCGCTATATAAATCCTGTATAATAATAATAAAATGATGTTATCATGTAACACCCCGCACCAACTCTCTGCTCACAGAACATGAACACACACACTGTGGAAATGTCACGGCTATTTCGGTTGCCCCTTTTCTCTAGTGTGCTATCTTTAACACGTCCAGAATAATTCTCCCTCCAGAATCGGAGAGATCTGTGTTGCTTTTCCCCCCTTTTATCAGCGAATAAAACGAATCTTTAAGACGATATGTGCTTTAGACTCTGTTCACACTTGTGCCTCTGCACCTACATGCATTTTTGTTGCACGTTTTTCATGCGAGGGGGGGGGGATTTATCAAAACTGGAGCAGACAGAATCTAGTGCAGTTTCCAATAGTAACTAATCATCTTCTCTCTTCAGTAAAGCTATAAAAAAATTAAAGAAAGAAGAAGATTATTGGTTGCCGTGGGCAACTGCTCAGAATTTGATAAATTCTCCTCTCATTTCTTTGTTTTGGCCAATGAAGGTGAAATAAAAAGTAGCTTGCTACATGCATTTTTGGATGTGTTTCCATTGAAGTCTATGGGGCCAAAATATGCACTGTGTAGCAAAAAACCTTTTAAAAAAGACACTGTATCACTTTGCATAGGTGTGAACAGGCACCATAGTGAATAATATCATTTCCATGGATGCACAATGGTAGACTTAGGGGTATATTTATAAAATGTTTGCAGAGTGAACAGCTGCGCGAATGTCTTAGTTTTAGGTGTGTACCACATTATGGCCACTAGATGGAGCAGAGGAGCATATCAAAATCCTTTCCTCCATCTAGTGGCCATAATCTGGTGAGAGATTCCCTCACTCTGAGAACATGTTATAAATACCCCATAGTGTGAATGGGCCCTTCAAAAAGGCATTTGCACTGCGATATAATAGAACACTTCAATAAGCCATGTGTGCCTTCTACACATATTAAATTGGTTGCAAACTCACAAAGCCCAATGATTCTGCATATTGACCGGTCCTATTCTATGTCAGAGGCATTTCATGATCATTGGAGGAGGAGGGGGGGGGGTTAAATGTGCAAATTCAGTTTTGAACCTGTTGACAGATTCATTAGACTCATCTGTGTCTGCCAAAGTTACCTGCATTCCTGGCCCTCTATGACTGAAGGATCTCTACTGAATAGAGTGCTATAAGGCCTGAGCTGCAAATACCATATATACATACACGCAAACACATATACATGCACACACCCCTCACATACATAGGAAACAGGGATCTAATACTACACAGACCTGAACACACCGTTCAGTCTTCACCATCAGCTGCACCCCAGCATAGTTTGTTGCAGATCTAATTGTACTATAATAATGTCATTGCACAAGCCCAGTAGTTTGCACTTTGCAGTGTATTGTGGATGCATATACACACAAGTGAGATGATCAGCATTATGCAGGACATCATTGCATTCAGTGAGCTGCCCCCCTATTCATATAAATCAGAGGTATGTGTACACAATCCCCCCTGCACTGGGAGCAGGCCCCCATGTACAGCACACTTCATCAGTACTAGCAGCCTGGCATCCAGCAGCAGCTGCTGCATCAGAGCAGATCTGGCAGGCTGAGAGATGACAGGCAGCTGGCTATGAGCAGGTGACATGATGGTGGAAGTCTCTTACCTTCATCTTCTAGCTCCAGTTTCTCCAGCATGCCTTCAATGGTGCCTTGAGCCTGTGTGGGTAGAAGGCAGAGAGAGGGGATGAGCACTCATACAGGAGGGAGGAGGAGGAGGGGGCACCACCAATTCCTGTCTCTGCTCCTCTCGCTACAAACAGTACCAGGGAAGCCCTGCCTGGGAGTGGGCGGCGCCTATCACACAGCCTGCGCCTACTGGGCAAGCAACTAAAGCTGCCGACCGATTGGCCGCGTGTCCGAGAGGAGAAGACCAATGCCTTGGAAGAGTGTGCTATGCCCCGCCCCTTCTCCGCAGCGCACAAACAAGAGCCGCCGCCGGCTGTCACTATAGGGATCGCCATGCCTGGCGGAGTCTGAGCCCGGCCCCGCCCACAGTGGATGATGGACGTGTGAAAGACGAGACGGGGCGAGTTCTTACCAGACTCTGTCGTATCGCTCGCTATGTACACCTGGCTGGGGAGATTCCTCAATTGCCATTCTGGTTTGTACAGCACCGCCCGGCGGCATGAAGAGCTTGTGTACGAAGTCATAATATAAATACATGCAATGTTACCATAATGTCATGTGCGATGTGACCTGGAATCAGGAGCGAAGTCTGTCACAGTGCTGGGATCAGAGGAATGCACTGCTCCCCTCTGTTGGATCTAAAACCCCATGTTTCCTCTATTGGAACCAGTGGTGGACCTAATAACCAAAGGGCCCTGGTGCAAGATTTTATCTTGGGCCTCCTCCCAAGTCACTGATCTCCGACTGCGATCTCACATTCCACCGCACTCACAAAGTCGGATAGAAGTGACATTTCAGGACTGATCAGCTGTTTCAGGGCAGATCGGTCCTCCTGCACATGCGATGCCGATCTGACCTGGAAGAGCGGAGAAAGCGTTGGAATTCTTCACCTATTCCACCGCCAAAAAACTGGGCGAGATTACGTTAAAATGTGTGACCACATCACTGGTCACACATTCTAACGTAGTCTCAAACTTTGATAGATCACATGCCTACCTGTAATCATTTAATCAGAGAAATAGATTATAATAGGGAACATTACAGTGTAATAGTCCCCATTATAATCCACTTGTCTAATTACATGAGAAAGCAGTACACAACTACTATCCTCCCCAGCCAGAGGACCGCAGCCAGGGAGTTTCAATGTGTGCACTGCAGGGGGCGGGGCTTGTGACACACACACAAGCCTCCTGTGACTCACCTCTTGCCGCCTGTTTCTATGGACGCAGGAGGGGGAGGTGAGTCACAAGACCCGCCCCCTCACTGAGAAGCCGGTCGGCAGTGTGGGGCCCCGGTGTTTAAACACCGGGGCCCGTGCACTGCCCCATATTGCAGGACCGGACCCCACTGAGGCTGTGGGGGTGCCCAGGACCGGACCCCACTGGGCCCCCCCACAGCCTCAGGCCCCAGGTCCGCCACTGATTGGAACTAAACTCCCCTGATCCCTCTGCTGGAACCATGCCTTCTGTTCCCTCTATTGGAATCAAACCCTTCTGTTCTCAAAAAGGAAAGGTCTCTTTGGTCCGGTGTACAGGCATCTATAAAAAAATTTTTATCTAATGGCCAAATGTGTTAGGGCCCACGCACACAGCCCCCTGTGCTGAAAACAGTAAACATGAACAATCTATCTGTCTTGTTTGGCTTATAAATCATGTCCAATACAAAGTCTGTGCGCAGTCTGCACAGAGGACTGCCTCAGTCTGTGTCAGAGAGGAGTCTCTTTCTACAGCAGTCTAATCTGTGCCCCTCTTCCCCCCGATGGGTCACAGCTAGACATTGTCAATCACCAAAGCTCATGCTCACTCCTGATTGGAGAGCTCTAGCTGTGACTCAGCAGATGGGCATGTCGGAGCGTGCAGAGAGACTGCTGCTTCCACACAGAGAACAAGGGTCCTCCCTGCTGAATGCTGCTTCTACCACAGGCTTTGTGCTGATGCTGCTTGACATGATTTATAAGCCAAAACGAAAAAGTAAGACTGTAAAGTTTACTACTTTCAGCACCTTGTGTTCAACTCTCTAGTTTTAGTTATAGGCTCAGTTGGGCTTTAACCAATCACTTTTTGCATACTAGTTCTCTATGGCCTAGAGGAGTGTCGGGGGGAGGGGGGTCCCCTGCCCTCATACTTTGCAATAAATAAAAGGTGTCCCTCCTTCTTATCTCAGACAGTTGGGAGGTATGGAGACATGAGGGTACTGCCATTGCTGACCACTCCTGAGGATGCTAGTTACTTGGCTGATGTACTGACCCACTGGTTACAATGCCTTCTGAAACATACAACAGGTATGCGTTTGAGAAACGTTTTTACCCGCATACTTCTGGGTCAATGAATTGAAGCATTAAAGGAGAACTATGAGATGAGTGATGTTCACTCACCTCATAGTTCTAAGCCGACCTGTGACAATGAGACTGTCACAGGTCGGCTCAGTAGATCGGGAGGTGAGAGAACACATACCGGGTTCCCTCACCTCTCGATCCTGTCACGGCTCTCTGCCGTGACAGGGGGAGGGGCTGGATTCCCCTCTCCCAGCTCCGATCTGCCAGCGCTGACTGGCGGAACGGACGGGGGAGGGGGCGGGTACAGCTGGCTCTGCCTCTAGATAGGCAGAGCCAGCTGTCACTCACGCAGCTGGGCGGATCCCGTCAGCTACGTCGGGATCCGCTCCGGCTGCGGCGTCTCAGTATACCGCGAGCTGTAGCTCGCGGTATACTGAGCTTAGGGTAACGGGAGGATGCTAGTTTGTGTCCTCCCGTTACCCTAAGGAGAACTATGGGGAAAAACACTGACACCATAGTTCTCCTTTAAAGCAAGAGGATCAGTATGACAGCTAGACAAATCACATTTTTATTAGAAGAGGCATGCAATGGCAGCCTCTGTGCTTTCATCTAGGCCCAGTGTTGTAATAAGAAAAGCTGCACCCCTTGTGCCCTGAAATGTAGAAGTCATTTGCAATAACATTACATGACAAAAAGGCTGACACTGCAATTATGTATGCGATATAACCAAAGCTTCCCTGTACAAGGAAGGGGGGCAGGGGGGGGGCTGCCCCTCTTTCTATTTCCTAAGGTGGGTAACAGTGCTAAATGCTTATGTTTAGGGAAGCATACAATAGTGGTAAAGGGTGAAACTGCTATTTGTATAACAGACATATAGTGATGTGTTTATAAACAATTCACAGCCATGGAAAAAAAATACATAATGTTGCAATGTGACACGAGAATAAAGGAGGTTAAGGCATCTTTGTTGCAGAAAATGTACTAAAACTGGAGGAGACAAAATCTATGCGTGGCAACCAATCACCTTCTCTCTTCAGTTTTGTTAATGAAAGATAGAAGATGATTGGTTGTCACGCACAGCTGCTCCTGGTTCTGTCTGCTCCCGTTTTAGTAAATTCCCTTCGCTGTCATTTGCCTTTCACTGCAGCCAAGCCAAGTTTCATTTTTTCCTCCCTATAGGGAAAGGTCCTTCAGAAATGTGTTCACATTGCTTTTCTCCTCAGTAATGTCAGCTGTGATTATTGTTCCTGAGTAATGAGGAAGTGAGAGTTGCACACAGCACCATCTAGTGTTTCAGAATAGGTTCTGCGTCTGAATACTTGTGGCATCACCCACCAACGTCTTCTAATTACCTTGCCTTTCTACTATCCAATGGAATAACTCAACAGCCAATACAAGGGTACCACACTGGATAGCAGAACAGAAGTAGGCATGCCCCAATTCAGAGCAATGCCTTTCATATTAAGGTTCTGCCCTGTCTACAGGATCCTGGGCCACACAAAATATAATTTAGAGGAAATGACAGGTATGTGCACACACTGTATGCCACATTCTACTGGGTTCTGGGGTGACCAAGATTACTTTATTTGGATGGCAGGGTCACTTTAACCTCACACGATATATTTCAAAACACTTCTTTTTACTTCAAGGATTATAATTGTATTGTTCTCAGGGATACAAAGGGTTGATGGCACATACAATATAAATACCACAATTATAAAAAGCTGCCATATATACTCACTGTTTTCGAGGTAGCACTGTGGGTTGATGACACAAGGGAGGACTTTGTCACAGTCGCAGGTAGGTGCGGTACTGAAAACCTCTGTCCTGTGTCTGGTGGTGAGGAAAATGAACGAAGTCTGGCCTCTAGCCTTTCTGGCTCATGTTTGTAGGATTCCAGGGGGAAGTTGGGCTGCTTGGTCACTTGTGTGGGAGTGGATGGGGAAGATGACAGTCCTGAGGCTGCAATAAAAAAAAGGGCCATCATTTAGACAATACAGGATAAGCATGGAAATATCCTCATCCTTGCATGCATTGAGTGCCAAATGTATGACCTCAGAAGTACAATTGAAGTTAGGTGCCATTTATAAAATAGGGGTATGACCGAACTGCGGCCATACCATACTGCTTTTCTAATAAGAGCAACTCCGCCACATTTATGAAGCACTGTTATACACTTTATGAATGCGGTTTACTTGCTTCAGGACTCTGAAATAAGTGAAGCCTCATTCATTATAATGAATAGGAAAAAAGAGTAACGTGACAGTGCTGTCCTATTCATAACTTTTCTCTGCAGCATTATGCAGAGAACACAATGCAGTGCAGTTCAGGCTGTGCACTGCACTCTTCTTATCTCTATCAAATATACAATACAGGTGATGTGCGGAGAATTTTCAGTGACATACTTCATTAATTATAACATGGTAAATGCTCCCACAGGCTCAGGAAATATGCCAACACTATGGGTTCATTTATAAACAATTTTCTGAGCCATTTCCCCTGTGAAACTCTGTGAAAGTTCGCTGTATGTGAATGGAGGCAAGAATGCATGTTCTTAGTAGAGTTTCTTTTCCAGTTGAATGTAATGTTAAGAAAGTATGTATTTGTATCTACTCCCAATCTTTTGCGAGTAGTGGTACCCCCGCCATCTCCCGATTGGGTCTGCCTCCACTGGGGTCTGGGGCCCCTTTTTCATCCTCTCTCCCTTCTTTCTCCCCTCCCTGCCATTTGCTTTTACTCTTTCACGGTCTGAGCCAGGGGGAACGACTGGGACGCACACAGACTCCAAGGACAACTTCCCTCTTCATCTCCTGAAGAAGCGCTATTTAGTGCGAAACGTTGAGAAAATCAAGCTCCTCCATCGTTTTTCATTATATTAATCATGTTATGTATTTATGAACTTTTCAATCATGTTTTTTCAATCATGTTCAATTGCACAAGAATTCTGATTGTCATCTGTATATGAATGAATTTAATCAATGTGGAGTGAGCTCACAGGGGAATCATGTTGTCAATTTTATCAATTCTATTTGCTTTTTAATCAATTAAAATATATTTTTTCAAAAATTCTTGGTGTGCAAGTTGTCAGTCGGCTGCCTAAAAAACCCCAACTTTTCTGATTTTTTTGATATACCACTTTCAGGGGTGTTGGCATCCTATGCCTTGATCCAGGTCACTGTCTTTTCAAATCAATGTTAAGAAAGTACCACATTATGGCCACTAGATGGAGCGGAAACAAGTATTTACTTCCTATGGTCCTCAGCTCCATCCAGTGGCAATAATGAGGTATTTTGCTAATATTACATTCGACTTGAAAAGAAAATATACTAAGAACGCTTGTTTGTGCCTCCATTCTCACAGAACGAATGTTCACAGAGTTTTTCAGGATGGATAGCACTGCAAATTGCCTATAAATAGACTCCTATGAATTCTGATCTGTTCTGTCTCGAGTTGTATAGTTTGCAGTCTCTGTTTTCTGTGTTTACCAGTAACACGCCTAAGCACCATTTGTATCTAAACTGACCATATAATATTCTGTACTGTAATTTCAGAAAAGCAGCCGTTTGTGAAAGAAAGCTTAGTGCTCATTTTTCAACATCTGCTACCATGCATTCTTAAATACTTCCCACATGTCAGCCAGTTTACTTGAATGGGATTGACTGTGAGAGGAGACAACATTCGGGAGCACTCTTGACAGTACTTATATTTTATAATACTAAGGGCCTGTTCACACCTAAGCGTATAATTAATCACATGATACAGTGCATTTAAGGCATGCTATCACACAATGCACCTAGTGTGCATTACTGTTCACTAGGTGTGTTGTGCTGCCATTCATTTAAATGGCATCCTAACACACCTATCAGCAAGTATTTCATGTCAATGCAGTACTGTCTGTTGCAATGCACATTGCACAATACACCTAGCGCATGGTGGCCCACACTTGGTGCAATGGCATGCATTTTTCACATGATATCATGCAATTACAGCTCCGCTTAGGTGGGAATGGGCCCTAGATCCTAAAAGCAACACTAAATGCTAAAAGCATTTTAAAACATTTGGCCAAGGACCGTTTCATGTGCAGGTTCCACGCTTTCTCAAGGCAATTCCAAATCCACATGCGGATTTAGGTTTATTATGGTGCATTGGCACCACATTGAGAATTATTGAATTGCACATAACGCATGTTAACATGTGTGCAGTAACGCACTGCAACAATGTGAATCTGGCCAAAGGCAACACAATCGAAATGTGGCCCACAGGACTTTTCCATAATACATTGCCCCACAGCACATTGCTAGGAATGGGTCCTATTGAAAACAATTCCATTGCTTATGTCCATGCATTTTACCTGCACAGGTAAATGGTCATTGCCATAATATTTGAGTGAACATGTGAGTGTAAAAATACAGAAGCTGCCATTGCTGCCTTGTTTTTCAGAGTAGGCTCCAGGTCCTACCATCATGATCCTAGTTTCACTACCAAGGCTCACTGATCTGGAAGTATTAAGTTCAGTCTTTAGATTTTTCCACCTACGTGATTGTTCCAGGAGAATACAGATTAATTACCTAATAAGTTAGAGATGTGACACGGGAAGGTTTGACTAAGTAGCGGTGTAACCCTTGGACTATATATTGTGGTGGGATGTGTGAATTTTAGGATCAGCTAAACACAAATATGTGGGAAAGTAAAATGGCTCACACCTTTGTTTTTCAAGTGTGTATATCATCATCTGGCATGTCAGCATATAACAAGTGAGATTATGACTATGAGTTTATTATTACATACCACAGAAAAATAACAATTCTATTTATTAAGCAAATAAGGTGAGAATGTCAATGTTTTATGAGGGGTATTTTCCATTATTGTGAGTGGAGAGGAACGTCATCATTGTAACTGACCTTTCATTAAATTACAGAAGGCATTTCTCATTTATTTTTCCACTGAGCACTGCTACAGGCTCTCCATTGTTGTAGAAGGAATGTTTTCCTAGATGCTGAGGAAGATAATTAGCTGGAGGACTCGGATTCCTTTTTTTGGGACTTGTAAACACCGGGCGGTCATTGCAACAAGCCAAAAAAGAATGCAAAGCACCAAATCCTCAGAATGTGTGCACTATTTCCTTCTCCCCCGAGTCGCCAGCATGTGCGGTTTACCAGCAATTCATTGTAGTCAAAATATAAAAATCTAAAATAAACACTTTTTACCATACAGACGTCCCTCTGAAATTCAGTGGACTCTAATACTATACTGCAAAATGATACTACAAATGTATTTATTCATGCACAAATATAGGCGCTTATAGCTGAATCACTACCAGCAGGAAGTAATCATTAAAGTGAACATATGCTTTGTTTAATTCTGTAAAAATCTTGCCTTTATGTGGAACTACAACCTCTTATCCCTTACAGCCAAGGAAGGTGCCTTCTTACCCTTAGTGATGGTGGAGCATGTGGGAGCGGGGTAGAGGAGACAGCATTGCCAGACAGGACTGTGAAGCCACCTTCTGCAGGCTCTGCATCTGCTGGCTCAGCTCATAGCAACCTGGGATGCTCTGGCCGGCGTCCCAGCCAGCTCCTAGTGATGTCACTAGTTGCCGGGAGCTGGGCAGAACGCCGGCCAGAGCGTCCCAGGTTGCTATGAGCTGCCGGAAGATGTGTATGGCCCTTACACAGCTCTTATCGACCTGGGGTGCTCTGGCTGGAAAGAGGGCTGCAGGTACACTGCAAACATTCAGTTCATGCATTCAAAGAGATAACGCAGCATTTGACAAGAAAATGCTGTGCATGACTTGCTTTGCCTGCAGTTTAAACACACTTCAATAGTCAATGAGATTTTGCTGACAACACCCAGTGACATGAGCCCTAACACTAAATCAGAGAGGGGCACAGAAATAGCATTTTATGGTTAATAAAGGCAATAGCTGGCTTCTAGGTAGAACGTCTACCCTATGAACTTTAAAAAAAAGGACAGGTTCATAATAAGTGCATTTGCACTTAAATATTTCTCCCAGTGCTCCTGTAAAGTCTCAAAAATACCTGATGCACATTCCTGTGGTTTGGCAATGATGCTGCACTGCTCCTGAATTCAGAGCAGAGTTGCCACTCTCGTGTAGGCTGTGGGATGAAAAAATCTTGCAGGGGGTATGACAGGGGGTGCGGTTATCGGCTTTGTCACTGCAAATTCACAACTCTGCAGCTTGTCAACCAACAACTGGCCACATCTAGTCCTGCCCACTACTTTCTAGAGTGACAGCACTGCCTCTGTTGCTGAAACCCTCCCACTGTGAGCTGCAGTGTCTAGGTGGGGAAGCATGTGAGACACAAAGAAGGAGGGTTTGACTTAGTCAGAGAAGGTAAAGGAAGTTTTTTGTCTACTTTGTGAGGCTTGTACATCACATAGTATCTGGATTTGGTAATTTAGACTGCCATCTAGGAGCCTATACTTTCATTTTAAGAGCCCTGAATGATGGCCACTGTATACCCTTACAGGTGCTCATGCGTTGTTTCTACTTGTCAGGTGAGTTGCACATTACATGTTGAGACCCAATGCACTATAACAGTCCTATGTCTCACCAGATAAGTCTATGACTAGTCTTAGTTCTAAACTATGCGTATACATAAAAAATGTTTTTACATTGGACATATAATTGTTTTGCAGAATGTGAGTAATTATGATGCAGTGCGTAATGTCAGGATGCAAGCATTTGACAGAAATTGTATAAGTGTGGGAATGTTTCCTCCAAACTCCATTGTTCTTCTATATGTGAGCAACAATAAACTGGCATCTAGGTAGACAGGCTACAGAGAACTCCACGAAGTTCTCCAGACAGTGGATCTATATCATGAGAAAGACAAAAGTCTTTACAGGGTCTGATCGCTCATAGTGAAAGAGTACACAGCCTTCTGTATTGGTTGTCTATGCAATATATACAGTACTTGAACACACAGTACCATCCTCCT